TATATATATATATATATATATATATGTAGAGCAATACATAATAGTAATGGTTGAAGTTACCACATAAGAGTATGACTACAATAATTTTTATATAGGTACATTCTATATATGCCCCCTTAAGCTGAGGGTAGGGAATCAACCCAAAGCTTAAACTAAAAAGCAGTAAACAAAGCAGTAGGAAGTGGCTTAGTGAAGACATCTGCAAGTTGATCCCGAGATGAAATAAAACGAATATAAATCTCTTTCTTCGCAACTTTATCTCGGATAAAATAATAATCAACCTTAACATGTTTTGTGCGAGCATAAAAAATAGGATTCAGAAAAATAAGTAACCCTAAGGTTGTCACACTAGATGATCGGAGCAGAAGCAAACGAAATCTGGAGATCTGTTAATAAATACTTAAGCCAAATAACCTTAGCAAAGCCATTGGCTAAGGTTTTGCACTCAGTTTTAGTAGAAGAGCGAGCAACTGTATGTTGCTTACTTGATTTCCATGAAATCGATGTCTAACCAAAGAACACAAAATAACCGTCGTATATTTTCTATCATCAACATTGTCTGCCCAATTTCCATATGTAAAACCATGTAAGGCAAATGAAGAACTGCGAGTAATATGTAGGTCATGTGATGTCGTACCCCTAAAATAACGCAATATGTGTTTAACAGCAGCCCAACGATAATCTGTAAGAGTATGCATAAACTGATTGACTCTATTAACAACAAAACAAATATCTGGGCATGTAAAAGTGAGATATTAAAGAGCACCCAAAATTTAATGAAAGCATGTAGCATCAGAAAACAAGGGATTTAGATGAATGGTAGCTTTGGATATAGAGATAGGAGTATCAACATGTTTGCAAGATAACATACCAGCTTGAGTGAGGATATCAAATGTATATTTATGCTATTGGAGCATAAGAACCATACCAGTAGGCTAAACTTCAATACCCAAAAAAATAACAAATAGAACCCAAGTCACGAAGCTTAAATTCTAAGCTTAGTAGCTATGAGGCATTAGAGCATAAGAGACTTGCTACCTGATTAGTACTTAAAAGTGCATTCTCATTAAGGATTTATGTCATCATATTGCACCTAAAGTATCATTAAATTCCCTAACAAAAGCATGTTTTATATTAGCAAGTCTAAAAATATAATATACCTTTAATTCATGGTAAATGTCCATCCTAAATGCAGGTCTATCACATAAATAAAAGGATTGATTGATGAGTTTAAGGATTGAAATTGAAAGGATAAAAAGAAGGCCAAACTTAGCAAAGTGTTGCTGGTGCATTCCAAACTCGAACACCGTTCAGTAATTTGATCATATCTGGAGCTGTAGATATCAGATTTAGGTCTATTTTATATCGATGGAAAGGTAAGACATAGACCTACAACTTTCATATGAAGTCAAAAACTCAGTTCTGCCGTTTTCAAGCCCAAATCGTAGCAACAACGAAGACGTCGGAAGCTGTCCTGCAGCTCAAGCACTATTCGATTTTTGGCTCATATCTTGAGTTCTAGAAGTCCAAATGAGCTCTGGTTTTTTTTTATGGAAAGCTGAGACAATTGCCCACAGCTTCCACAATTCAGTTGGCTATAATTCTGATGTGAGCAACGACGTTTTGGCTAGCCAACAATATCAAAAATCAGCCCACAATATCAAAAAAACCAGCAGCCATTAATGTCAAAAACCAGCCACCAAATCAATGGATGCCCACCAATTCTTCAATCAATCAATAGTTCTGAAACTTAGCCTATAAAAGGAGGCATTGTCCATGTATTTAGTCATATTAATTTTCAGATCAAAGTTATCTTCTTGCTTTCTCTCTACATCTTTGTAATGTTCAAGTTTTCTTTTATGCTATAGTAATCTCTTGTTTATGCTCTTTCATTTCCTTTCCTATACTTAGTTAGCTTATATTATGTTTATGTTCTTATATTGTTTATTTGTGTTTTTCTCCTTCTTAATGTTTAGCTAAGTTAATTATGTCAAGGTGAAAAGGTTTCTCTAATGGTGTTAGAATAGGTATAATATAAACTCAACATGAGCTTTAAATGTTTATATCCAAGAAAGATTGTTATTAACATGTTTTATCTTTTTATCTTACTAATTCTTAATACCTTGCTTATTAAATGTTTAATTTAGATTTGTGTTGTATAATATTTGGTACATCAAATGCTTGATCTTTCATAGTTTTCGGCCGAAATCGTTATTATGATAGAAACTTGATTTGTTGTTAACATAAACTAGCAACATGAATGCTTGATGATATTTATAAGTATGGTATTACTTATATAAGATAATTAATATGATCATGTTAGTAATTTATAATGAGCTAATAACGAGAAATCATCCGATTAGAACCTCCTTTGTGTGTGGTTTCTAGTTGAGTAATAAAAAGAGTTTATATTATATTTATTTGAAATACCATTAGTGAATCCTATAACCTTGACATATGTTTTGTTATTGTTTAATCCTTACATCAATATCACATCCCAAAACTTTCTTCAACTCCTTTTCTGTTATTATTCTCTTTAAATCTTTTTCTTTATTTGTAATTTATATAATTCACCTCCCTGTGGTTCGACCCCGGTCTTGCCGGGTTATTTTACTTTGACACTCCTGCACTTGGGATAAGACATCAACTCTTTGATCGTGTCAAGTTTTTGGCGTCGTTGCCGGGGAGGTAAGTTCTTGTATAAATTAAATATTTTATTTTATTTTATTTTCACTTTTATTTGTTTTTCTAATTGTTGTTTCTTTTTCTTTTTCTTTTTTTTTCTTTTCTTTTCTTTTGTATTTGTATGAGAGTTTGGACACGTACATTACGTGGTAGACTTTCTAGAAAATCCTCATTTTCTTTAGAAAACATGGCCGAAGAAGATAACCAATCAATTCATAATAAGAATAATGAGAATAATCGTGTTAGAACACTTAGAGATCATATGAATCCAACAAGAACAAGTGCACCATCATGTATTGTTTTTCCTCCTGATGCATCTCATTTTAATTTTAAGCCAGGTATTATTCAACTTTTACCCACTTTTCATGGCTTAGAATTAGAAAATTCATACTTGCACTTAAGAGAATTTGAAGAAGTTTGCAACACTTATAATGACTTAAATTGTAGCATGAACACCATCAGATTAAAGCTTTTTCCTTTTTCGTTAAAAGATAAAGCTAAAACATGGCTACAAAATATTAAGTCAGGATCCATTCATGCTTGGGATGAAATGCAACAACAGTTTTTAAAGAAATTTTTCCATTCTCATAGAACAAACTCTTTCAAAAGACAAATCACCACTTTTACTCAAAAACCAGGAGAAACATTTTATAAATGTTGGGATAGATATAAAGGCTTGCTTAATATCTGTCCTCATCATGGTTTTGAAACATGGAGATTGGTTTCACAATTTTATGAAGGGTTAACACCTAAAGATAGACAAATGGTAGAATTGATGTGCAATGGAACTTTTGAAAATAAAGACCCTGATGAAGCAATGGAGTACCTAGAGTTGCTAGCTGAAAATGCTCAAAATTGGGACACCACAGGTACTTGTGAGGCACCAGGTAAAACTCAACCTCATACATCTAATGGAGGCATGTATAGCCTTAGGGAAGATCATGACCTCCAAGCCAAATTTGCATCTTTAGCTAGAAAAGTTGAGGCACTAGAATTAAAAAATAGTGGTCAAGTAAAATCTGTTCAAGAAATTGTGTGTCAAATTTGTGAAACCAATGAACACTCAACCAATGATTGTCCCACGTTGCCTTCTTTTAAGGAATGTCTCCATGAACAAGCCAATGCTTTAAATAGTTTCCAAAGACCAAGTCATAACCCGTACTCACAAACGTACAACCCTGGTTGGAGAAATCACCCAAATTTCAGTTGGAAGAGTGGTAACAATAATGCACAAACTTCACAGCCACCATTTCAAACACAACATAATTTTCAAAATTCTCATGGATATGCACCTCCTTATATTCCCCCTCCTAAAAGAAATCTTGAGGAAACATTACATGCATTCATTGAAAAGCAAGAGACAATCAACACTCAAAATGCTCAAACCATGGCTGATTTGAAAGATACTCTTGCAAAGTTCACATCTGCTCTCAGTTTTCAGGAGAAAGGTAAGTTTCCATCTCAACCCCAGCAAAATCCCA